AGTGTGCCCTTGTTCTGTTTGAACAACTGCCTCTTAGTCTATATATAGATTCCTCAGGAGCACAATTAAGTGTTTCAGAATACTCATTCTCCACAATGTTGTCCATAGCTTGTCATGATCCATACAATTGAAAATTTTGCATAGTCAATAAAGCACAGGTAAACATCTTTCTGGTATTCTCTGCTTTCAGCCAAGATCCATCTGATGTCAGCAATGGTATCCCTTGTTCCAGTTCCTCATCTCAGTCTAGCTTGAACCTCTAGAGGTTCTCTGCCAATGTACAGTTGCAGGAGTTTTTAAATTATTATTTAAAATTACAAACGCTGTTTGTCGTTGTTAAGTGCCATCAAGTCAGTTCTGACTCATAGGGACCCTGTATAGGGTTTCCAAGGAGCAGCTGGTGGGTATGAACCACCAACAGCAGTCCAATGCATATTCTACAGCACCACCAGGACACTACAAATGTGGATTGTTGCTGTTAAGTGGCATCGAGTCAGTTCCTACTCATAGTGACCCTGTATAGGGCTTTCCGAGGAACAACTAGTGAGTGAGCTTGAACAGCCAATCTTGCAATTCAAACTGACCTTGCAGTCCAGCACATTAACCCACAGCACCACACCAGGTAAAAAAGGCCCTTGTTTCCTCCTTTCAACTGAAAAATCAAACCACCTACTTTTCAGTAAGTTGTGGTCCTTCAGGCCCAAAGTTCAGCTTAAATAGAAAATGAACGCCATCTTGTGGAATTTTAAGATTTTGTACATGAAATCTTTACCAGAAAAAGTGATTTTCATATGTTTTGATCAAAATCTAGCTCAATTTCTTCATTGTATTTACAAGGAATAAAAAAGTTTCTTTGGGAGAGAATCATTTTTAAAGTAAGGCTCTTATTTATGATCATCAGGCTAAAACCTGACTTTCAGTCTACACTTTTATCTAAACAGAATAATGTTGTTGTTGTTGTTGTTATGTGCCATAGAGTCGGTTCCGACCCATAGCAACCCTGTATAGGGTTTCTGAGGGTGTAAATCTTTACGGGAGTAGAAAGCCTCATCTTTCTTCCGCAGAGCAGCTGGTAGTTTCGAACCGCTGACCTTAAGGTTTGCAGCCCGATTCGTAACCACTACGCTACCAGAAACAGAATAATAAGCTAAAAAAAAAAGGAAAGGAAAATTTAGAATGCAAGTTGACAGTCGGCACCATTTTGTGAGTTCAGACTATCAGAGCTAGCAGTAGGTAAACAATTAGTTACCACAAAGGTTTTAATCATTTTCCAATATGAATGTGTTTTAAGATGCCACCACTTGTTTGTCAGTTTGTCTTATAGTGGTGGCTTGAATGTTGCTATGAAGCTGGACGCTATGTCTTCGTTATTTTAAATACCTGTTCACCCATGATGGACAGGTTTCAGCTGAGTTTCCAGACAAAGACAAACTAGGATAGAGAGGCGAACTATTCCTCAATGTTTAGCTGCTGAAAACTTCATGAATAGCAGTGGAACACTGTCAGCACCAGAATCTTGACTATTGAAAACATGACGAATAGCATCCTAACAGTGTCAGATATAGTACTGGAAGAGTGGGGAATATGAGTGGGGAAGAGTTGCGTCCTCAAAGTAGAGTTGACCACGGTGAAACGACTGGAGTAAAGCTTTTAGGCCCTTCATTTGCTGATGGAGCACAACTCAAAATGAAAAGAAACAGCTGTAAACATCCATTAGTAACTGGAACATGGAATGTACGATGTCTAAATCTAGGAAAATTGGCTATGGTTGTTAAGTGCTATCCAGTCAGTTCCGACTCATAGCAACCCTGTTTCCAAGGAGCACCTGGTGGGTTTGAACTGCCAAGCCAACCTTGTGGTTCCCAGTCCAATGCTGATCCTGCAACCCCACATGAAATGGAATGCAGAAAGGTATATATCCTAGGCATTAGTGGGTTGAAACGGACTGGTATTGGCCATTTTGAATCGGACAATTATGTGGATTACTCTGCCAGGAATGACAAATCGAAGAATGGCATTGCATTCATCATCAAAAAAGAACATTTCAAAATCTATCTTGAAGTATAAATGCCATGTGTGATAGGATAATAAGCATAGTCTACAAAGAAGACCAGTTAATACCACTATTATTCAAATTTATACACCACCCACTAAAGCCAGTGTTGATGAAATTGAAGAATTTTACCAAGTTCTACAGTCTGAAATTGATCAAGTACTTCCTGATAAAGATGAAAGACCAAAGTTCGCTGTCAGCAATAACACAGAATAATACCAGGCAAAGCAGATCCAGGGCAGAGCTCCAAAACTCGGAACCACAGAGATAGGAATATTTTAAAAGTTTGAAGGCTAATAACTTGTGGAATTTGGAGCTGAAGTAAAAAATCACTTTTATTTGATGTTGATTGCCCAGAATTGCAAAATGTAAGCCACCTTGCATTGTGCGCATTTAAAAACAAAGGGGTTGAAAGGAAGGTCTAATTAACTTCAAAAAAAATTAATAATAAAATCTAGAGCTTTGACATAAAGCCATTTTCTTCCTGAAAGGTTTCAGTTTAGGGTTTTGTGGCACAAGCTTGTGTCTGAACTGTCGGTGCTGTCTTCTAGTTTCAGGCATCTGTGGGATGAAATGCTAGCACTCCTGTTTAACAATAACCCCTAAACTACAGCAAATCCCTCCACCAATAAGGGTCTTTCACCATTACCCATGGAGTCCTGGTGTGGCGCTGTGGGTTAATGCGTTGGACTGCAAAGTCGGTTTGAACTGCAAGGTTGGTGATTCAAGCTCACCAGTCGCTCCTCGGAAACCCTATACAGGGTCACTATGGGTTGGAACTGACTAGATAGCACTTAACAACAGCAACACAATTACCCTTTGTGGTGGGCACTATTTAAGGGTAGATGGTTTGCTCTCTGGGGACAAAGATTATTGGCTGGAGTGCCCTGTCCACCTATTTTAACAATTGCTTAGTCTCAGTCTCTGACTCTTTTAGGCCAATGACTCCACTGGGTGGTCCATGGTAATCCCAGATCACGACTCCAGGCTTTTAGCTGGGGTTCCCAGTTCTCTTGTGAACAGGAGGCATTTACCACACACCTGAGCTCTCTGCACGTTTAGATCTGCTGACCACATTTCCGACTCTGCTTCCTTCACAAAGGAGAGGGATTGTAGCAACAGCAAGCCAGCCTGGCAGGGGACTTATACAGGGAAATACTTCAAGTCTATTGGTATTGCTCTCTACCTATTATTCGGGATGCCTTTCATTTCCTTAGATAAACCCCAAACAGCCAGATATAAAGAAAACAGCACTTCATCAAAACATAACGAAGTATTTTATATTGTTGTTAAGGACTGACTCTGTACAGGGCTTCTGAGGAGCAGCTGATGAGTTTGAACTACCGACCTTGTGTTTCATAGTCCAGTGCTGATCTCAGAGTTCCACACCAGGAATCCAAGTATCTTACATTAGCAGTAGATAAAGATAATTTTGAACAAGTTTCAAAGAAATATAAGAACACTGGCTGGTTCTGATGCCAGTTTTCTCACACTCGGGGAAGAAAGCCTGTAATTCTCAGAGAAGTGGGAAACCCAAAGCAAGCCTCAAGCCTCAGACATCTCTGTAGGCTTCAAGTAGGAAGGGACACACAGTCCAAGGATAAGATAACACACTGCTTCAGAGTCTGTCAATTTATTGAGTAAAAACAAAATCAATGTCAGACAAACTAAACTGAGCCTGGATTAGAGTTAGCTGATGTCCACTTGCAGTAGAGAACTGAGATGAGGCTGGCAAGGGGCACAGAACAAACCCACCTTCTGTTATGTGTAAAAGCAGGAATCCCACGGCCAGTGTGAGTCATTAGCAAAGGCTCAGGGACTCCATGTTAATGTGCGGGAGAAAACCATGAAGAGCACAGTTCTTTCAGGAGAGGAAAGAGCCAGAACACTTAGAGAACAAACTGCAGCAGGGTCAGAATGGAGAGCAGCAGTCAGAAAACACCCACTGGTCACTTGGGAAACACAGTGACCACATCGTAACCCTCAGGCGGCGTGACCCGCTCGCGGGCATGTTTTTCACAGTAGATCTGATCTTCCACGAAGAAATGGCCCTTCTGTTTCAGGTTGGTGCCACAGTCGGTGCACACGTAACACTCAGGGTGGCGGTGCCTTTCCCGTAGCTTCACAAACACACCTCTGCAGGACCAGAGAGAGGAGAGCAAGTCATTAGTGACAAACACCAGCAGGTGGCAGTAGAGCTCTGCACCCTTCTTTCTAGGCTGGGGATGGCACTCACTCCTAGAGGTCTCTTACTGGCCTCCATTCATAAAGGGGCCTTGTTATTCCTGGGGTCCCCAGGAAGCCCTCGGTACTTTCACAGAGCAAGCAGCACTGCCTTTTCTGATTCACATGTCTATAACTTAAAGGCTCCAGGGCTAAGGGAAACCCACCTCCTGCTTCTGAGGCATGACACCAGCTTGACCTCTCTTCTCTATGCCTCCTTCACATCCAAAATGCAAACACCCAGCACTTTCTGCATTTTCCTGATTTCCCCAGAATGTAGGGCCTCCAAGGGAAGACAGATACTCACACAATGCCGCTGCCACATTTGTCACACATGGGCAACTTCTGAGCGTTTCCAATCGATGCAGCAACTTTGGTGACTGGAGCCTTAACACTTCTGAATCCCGAAGGCTTATTAGGATCCCCTGAAATGAAAATATACTCAGGTTGGCTAGGAAGGGCAGAACTACTGAATAAGCATCATTTAACTCTTTCAGAGAGACTCGTGATGTTTAAGCAAGGTCATGGACACTGGTGTCAAACAGACCTGACTCTTCTGGGTGATCCTGGGCAAGTTACTTAACCTCTCTGGTTTTCGGTGTCCTTTTCTATAAATCAGGAGACCATTTATCCCTTCACTGTTACACAAAACGATGAGAAAAGATGCATAGGCCCTCCCACAGAACCTAGCATATGTTTAGCCTTGAGTCCTGGTGTGGCCCCAAAGGATAAGCACTCAACCACAAGGTCGATTTGAAACTGTAAGGTCAGTGGTTCAAAGTCGCCAGCCACTCCTCAGAAACCCTACACAGGGATGCTATGAATCAGAACCAACCTGACGGCACTTAGCAAAAACAATTAATATTATTAGGAACCTGGGTAGTGCAAGCGTTTTGCAATTGATTTTAAAAACCTAAAGGTTGGTGGTTCAAGTCCACCCAACAGCTCCAGGGAGGAAATAACTGGGGATCCTGCTTCGTAGACTACAGTCAAGAAAGCCCAATGGGTCAGTTCTACTCAATCAGTTCAAGCTCCCACACTTGAGAACAGTGTCTGGGCACCGTAGAATAAACACTGGACTGCTAACTGTAGGTAGGCTGTTCGGAAACCCTATAAAAGGTTACTGAGTGGGCACTAACTACTCTAGGGCATTTATCAACAATCTTTAGGGAACAGATAGTCTTTTCTCCTACAGAGTTGCTGGATAGATTTGAACTACTGACTTTTCAGCTGCCAGCTAAATGCTTAACAATTATGCTGCTGGGGCTCCTTTGTAAAGACCAGAGATGCTACTGAACAGCCACACTGTATAGGACAGTACCACACCAAGGACTCCTCTCCTAAAATGTCAATGGTGCCAAGGCTGAGAATCCTGCTCTAGGTCAAATAAGCTTTTCCATCTGGTGGCGCTGTAGGATAAGTACTGGACTGCTAACTACAAGGTTGACAGTTCAAACCTACTAGCCACTCCGCAGGATCAAGAATGAGGCTGTCTGCGCCCGTAAGTTTTACGAGTCTTAGATATCCTATAGAGAGGGTCCCTATGAGTTAGAATCAAATTGACGGCTGTGGGAATTTTTTGGTTTATCTCTCTTTGGGTTTGAACACATGACTTGCTTTGGCCAATGGGATGTGAGCAGGTATGAGCCATGTCAAAGAAAGGCACCAAATGCGCTTGTGTGGTTTGGCCCCATCCCCCCTGAGCTTCTGCCCTCTGCCAGGAGAATACAATGCCCTGGAGAGTCATTCCTGCCTCGGCTTGGCTCCTAGAATGAGCCCAGCCCCAGCTGACCAGCAGATCTCATGTAACATGAGCAAGAAATGCATTTGCTGTTTCAAGCCGTTGCTGTGAACACATTGTGTGGGTTATTTTCAACTATAGTATGAAATATTTTTTTGGCTTAAAGGGAGCAACAAAAGGGCCGCCTCCTCAAAACAGCCTACATAATGTCAGAGACTGGCAGCTACCTGAGCTGTTTGGCTGCGTTCCTCACAAAACTCAGCAGAAAAGTAGCCAGAAAAAGGGAAAGAGGAGAAAAGCCAGGGGGGGAATCCGAGAGCCTCACTTTGTAGGAAAATCCACCAGAGTTTAGAATCAGTTTGACGCCTTGCTGAGAATGTGCATTTCCACCTCAGATATTGTTGTTGTTGTAATACGCTGTTCAGTTGGTTCTGACTCATAGCGATCCTCTATAGGGCTTCTGTGCTGGTGTGGCATTGTAGGATAAGCACTAGACCACAAGGTTGGTTTGAATTGCAAGGTCAGCGGTTCAAATTCACCAGCTGCTCCTTGGAAACCCTATACAGGGACACTAGGAGTTGAAACTGACTGACTCTATGGAACGTAACAACAACAACAAATCTTAACGGGAGCAGAAAGCGTCTTTTTTGGTGGGTTCAAACTGCTGATCTTGAGATTTATGTCCATGGCATAAACCACTAAATTATAATAAAATACAAAAGAGTCACCTGTATTAAGGATCTTGTTAAAATGTAGATTATGATTAAATGTCTCAGGGTGAAATGCAAATTGTCAGCAGTGGGTCAATGCCCTAGAATCTACAACTCATTTAGTAATGAAGAGATGAGAATTTGAATAAATCTGGCTACAGCTGGGTCAGGTAAAGCTAGCTCTTTGAGCCTATCCAATCCCAACTCCTGCCCTGCAGCGCCATCTGCTGGCACAACTTTTTCCTCATGTATCCAGCCAACGCTGCAAATTTAAACGTCTCTTCTTCCTATCCTCTCAACTATAGTTGCAATGTACCATCCAGTTCATTCTGACCCACAGAAAACTTATATTACAGATCAAAACGGATCCTTCTGGTTTCTTAGGCTGTAATCTTTGTGGGAAAGAACTCTGGTAGCGTAGTGGTTACGAATCAGGCTGCAAACCGCAAGGTCAGTAGTTCGAAGCTACCAGCTGCTCTGCGGGAGAAAGATGAAGCTTTCTGCTCCTGTAAAGATTTACAGTCTCGGAAACCCTGTACAGGGTCACTATGGGTTGGAACCGACTCCACAGGACACCATTACTACCACCAATCTTTGTGGGAGCAGATCAGGGCATTTTTTTCCTTCTCCCATGGAGCCATCCACCTTCTGGTTAGCAGCTGAGTACTTAACCACTGTGCCACAAGGGCATCTTGGTTCTCAACCAGAGGTCAAAAAAACATTAGCTCCCTTTGGGATCTGAGCAACTGCAAAAATTTCCAAATTCTCTTCCTTCACCTTGCAAACAACCCTAAGCTTTCTGAGAAACGTAAACTGAGTTAAATAAAGCACAGTTGTTGTTTTTTCCTACATGTCTCTTAAGTTGTGATGCTGCAGGATCAGCACTGGACTGCAAATCACAAGGTCGGCAGTTCAAACCTACCAGCTGCTCCTCAGAAATCCTATACAGGGTTGCTATGAGTCAGAACTGACTCAATGGAACTTAACCTCAAGTAGGCCTTCACATTGCCTACCAGATCCAGTCATAGACGTTAATTAGTAACTGATGGCTGTCCATGGTCTGACACCAGACGTCTGAGGAGGAAACTTAAGCAGCCAAAACAAGCCTAGATACGTCCTGAGCATGTCTTCGCTTCCTCATCTCTGAGCCGCTAGCCATTCTGTTTCCTCAATCGAGAAATTATTAAAAGTCCTCTTCAAATTTTGGAAGTTTACCCAGATCAAGATGTTTGAAGAACCCAGAGCTTGACCACTTAGTCCAGAGGTTGAAATTTACCCTAAAATGACAGCCCCTCATAGAATCCTTATACAAGGTTTCTCAGCAAACCCTGAAGCAGTGTTCTGTCATCCTGCGGAGAGCTCACTAATGCACATGCTCACCCTGGCATTTTACACAGCTTTCCTCAGCTACACTGTGAGGGAAGAGACCATTATTAACCTCACTTGAAAAGCACAGGAGCTCTGGTGATGCCATGGTTAAAGTGCTGTGTGGTGAATTGAAAGGTCAAACCCACCAGTCACTCCACAGGAAAATAATGAAACCGTCCGCTCCCATAAAGATGACAGTGTTGGAGACTCTATGGGATAATCCGACGCTGTCCTATGTGTCTCCATGAGTCACAATTGATTCAATGACAGAAACCGAGAGTGACCAGCCCGCGTCTCCTGGCAGAGGTAGAGTCTGGAGACCCGTGCTCTTTCTATCAAGTGAGCCCGGCAGCTTTCGGATCCCGAGGCCTTTGGAGTAACACCAGCCCTCCTTGAATGCTTTCACCAAGCACCAGTGCAGTGCAGTGAATTGCCAGTTATTGACCCTTCTGCGTACTGGTTACGAATCGGACTGCGAACCACATGGTCAGCAGTTCAAAACTACCAGCTGTTCCGTGGGAGAAAGATGAAGCATTCTGCTTCCGTAAAGATGTACAGCCTAGAAAACCCTGTATAGGGTCACTATAAGTCGGAACCGACTCCACGACACATAACAACTACAACAAACGTTCTTTGTAACTTACGCCAAACGACTGGGTTGTTGTTGGTAAGTGCCAGTGAGTCAGTTTCAACTTACAGTGACCTTATATGCAGTTTCTGAGCCTGCAGATCTTTGTGGGAAAGCCTCATCTTTCTCCCAATGACTGGGTGGTTGTTGCTGTTGTAAAGTGCTGTCGAGTCGACTCTGACTCATAGTGACCCTGAATAGGGTTTCCGAGGAGTGACTGGAGAGTTTGAACCACCAACCTTGTGGTTCAAACAGACCCAGGACTTCAAACTATGCAAATGTAAAGTGCTTGTGGTCCACCAAAGGGATTGGGTATTGTTGTTAAGTGCTGTTGAGTCGTTCCAAGTGCTGTTGAGGGTTTCCAAGGAGCGACTGGTGAGTTTGAAGCGCTGACCTTGTGGTTCAAACTGACCTTGAGGTTGAGTGCTATGGTGCCACACCAGGACTCCATGTGGGATTTGTTGTTGTTGTTAAGTGCTGTTGAGCCAGTTCTGACCCACAGTGACCCTGTATAGGGTTTCCAAGGAGCAGCTGGTGAGCTTGAACCACCTTCTATTAAAAATCTCCTAACCGTGACTACAGCCTGTAAGTTCAATGTGGCTACTGCAGTGAAGTACAGAAGTCAGCAGAGAACTAGAGGACAGCGAGCACCATGGGAGCTAATCGCTGGTGTCAGAATTAGTGAAAAAGTAGAAGGTGGAAGCAGCTCTGACCTCCACCTCACAGCAACTAACCTCCACTTCATGGGAATTGGCTTGGGGTTGATGCTAATGAGGATTCTCCTTCTCCCTTCTTGTGAAATTAGAAGAGGTCAGCCACCACACCACACCCATCATTCTAACAACCAGACACTGCCCTAAATTTTGCACATTCCATCTCAAATAAAAACAGGCATTCAAGGTTTCCTCCCAGAAAGCCTTTTGCATATGGTAGATGTTTGTGATGGAATTTATCTTCTTCCCTTAGTGAAAAAGGAGCCTTGGTAAAGTACTCAGCTGCGAACCTACAGGTCAGTGGTTCAAACCCACCAACTGCTCCAAAGAAGATAAATGTGGCAATCTGCTTCCACAGAGATGGAAACCCTGTGCGGCAGTACTAGCCAAAGCAGTGGATTTGGTTTAGCTTCGGTGACAATTCAATGTAAATCCATATTAAGAGGTAAGCAAGTGACTGAAGACCCATTTCTCTCATGCCTTTATAACAAAATCCTGATTTTCTTCAGGAAAAGATGACCTAGAGGGGAGAAGATGATACTTCTAGACCACCTTGCAACTAAGAGTGGCCATGTAACTAATTTTGGTCAACAAAACAATGTAGTGGTGTGGGACTTCGGGGAAGGAGAAAACGGACTCATCTGAAATGGGGGAGTCCCTCAATGTGCCCTTTCTCACCTCTCCTTCCTACTTCTGTTTGGTTTGGGCTTACATACACATTCCTGTAATAGCTAGCAAGGGCAAGTGGGTGAGGACCAGGGTGATGACAACCAAAATGAAAATGAATCAGCAGCACCAAGGAGCCAGGTGTGTTGGGCTTTCACTTTGGTGCCATGTGTTTGCTCTTGCCCTAGTGTGGGTGGCATCTTGAGGGTCTGAGCCTCCAGTCTGGCCACCTCCTCATCTGTGACTTTAGACAAGACTCTGCCTCTCCAGGGATGTTTTCTCATCTTTCAACCGAGGATAACAATCGTTTCCTCAAAGATGCCATAATGGTCCAAAACACTCATCACCAAGACTGTCACAAAGGTGGTGGTGATGGTTATGTGACGTGGAGTTGGTTCCGACTCATAGCGACACTGTACAGGGTTTTTGAGGTTGTAAATCTTTACAGGAGCAGAAAGACTTATCTTTCCCCGTGGAACAGCTGGTAGTTTCGAATTGCTGACTTTTGAGGTTAGCAGTTGGATCCGTAACCACTATGCTAAAAGGTGCTTGATAGTAATTATGTCTGAAACCAGATCAAAAGAGCTACCAGGTCAGCCTTAGCTTGTCCATGTGTAAGTTCTGGTGCCCAAGCCCCATAGTCACCGTGAGTGATTTTGCAGGTCTAAGGAGACACTCACTGTTTGTATTCTAGATATCATGTACTGTGTGTGTGTGATGAGAATATGCTACACAATAAAGAATCAACCAAGTCAAAATTTCTACAGGTATAATTACATTCTTTCATGCTCTGCGTCCATCATCAGTAACCTTTTCCAAATTATTCTATCATCATTAACATAAACTCTGTCCCCCATTAGCAAAAAATCCACCTCCATCCCATCCCTCTCAAACATAGTATTTTTAGTCACCTCATATGAATGAGGTGAACCATGAAAAGGAAGATGAAGATTAGACGCATTGATGCATTTGAATTATGGTGTGGGCAAAGAGCATTGAATATACCACGGACTGTGAGAACAGACTCTGTCTTGGAAGAAATACACTTGGAATATTCCTTAGACGTGAGGATGGCGAGACTTGGTCCCACAGGTCCATCAGGAGAGACCAGTCTCTGGTGAAGAACATCATGCTTGGTAAAGTAGAAGATCAATGAAGAGGAAGACCCTCAACAAGATGGGCTCACACAGTGGCTACAACAATGGCCTCAACCATCACCATCGGAACAACTGTGAGAATGTACAGGGAGGGGCCGTGTTTTGTTCTGCTGTGAATATGGTCACTATGAGTTGGAACTGACTCATCAGCACATAACAACAATAACAATTTCCATCCCTGGTAACCACTGGTTTATATATTTTCCCTTATTTCATATACCTGAGATCATATAGTTTTGTCCTTTACTGTACATTTACTATGATAATTTTCAAGAAGTAAAGGTGTCTTATTTTAAAAGCAACCTACTATTATGAGAAAACTTGTGACAGATAAAAGTGTTGAAGCTGGGATCTCTTTTTCTAAGTCTCGGAAGTGTTCAGCAGTCCTCAGACCACCCACCTTCCTGGAATATATGTTTTTAAGAGCATTTCTTGTGACTCTATCATTAGCCTAGCTGTGAGTGACTTCTCTCTTGTTGTTGTTGTTGTTGTTATGTGCCGTGGAGTCGGAACCGACTCATAGCGACCCTGTACAGGGTTTCCGAGGGTGTATATCTTTACGGGAGTAGAAAGCCTCATCTTTCTCCTGCGGAGCAGCTGGTAGTTTCGAACTGCTGACCTTGCGGTTCACAGCCCGAGTCGTAACCACTACGCTACCAGAGCTCCTTAGGAGATGGCTTTAGAGCCCCTCCTGCTTCGTCACTTTCCCTGAATCCTGCCTTTGACACCTTTCTTCTCCCCAGTGTGTCCACCTGTGGAGAGAGCTGGTGTTCCCGGAAGGGACACCTAGAGAGACCCCCTGAGCCAGGATCCGAGGGAAAGAATTGATTGTTTTTTCAGGGCAGACAGCGAGGATCAGTGCTGAGATGCCCCACCCTCTGGAAGGGTAACCTTCCTTCTCAAAGGCGGCTGCTGCAGATTTGGCTTCCTGGGGAGGCCTTCCTAAGCTGAAAATTCCTCTACTGTACACACCCAACACCTGGGCTTCCTTGGCATTTGTGTAGGTTCTTTTGAGAAAGTGGTAATTTACACCCACAGGAAACAAAGAAGAAAGCGCTTCTTTTATGCTAATAAGATACTGAGCTACAAGCAATTTCCACTTTGCTTGTAGTCCTTCTGCAGTGGGGAAGTGTCTTTGATTCTTAGTACTGCTATAATACAAACACCACCAGTGGATGGCTTTAAACAATACAAATTTATTCTGAAGGCTGAAAGTCCTAATCAGAATCTATGCCATGTAAACTCCTTCTTCATAAGTAGCCCAGATGTTCCCCAGTTTCCTGGCTTATAGAGGTCCTCAGGTGGTATCTGTCTTTCCCTATGTGTGCCTGTCTCTGAGTCTAGCCTGTTACATAACCTGGGCGTGAATCGATTTATAGAACCCATCCTACTCTGGTATGATCTAATGAACACAAGGAAGATAATAACCCTATTTCCAAACAGGACTACATTTACACATATAAACCCAAGCCAAACCCACTTCATCTATTTGATTCCAACTCATAGCCACCCACTAGAACAGAGCAGAACTGCCCCATAAGGTTTCTGAGTGTTATCTTTTCAGAAGCAGACCGCCTCCTCTTTCTCCCACAGAGCAGCCGGTAGAGTCAAACCACTGACCTTTCAGTTAGCAGTCCAATGCTTAATCCACTGAACTACCAAAATTTAATCCACACAAGAAACCAAACCCACTGCCATGGAGTGGATTCCAACTAACAGTGACCCCATATAGTTTTCAAAACTGTAAATATTTACGGCAGCCAACAGCCTCATCTTGCACCTTCGGAGCAGCTGGTGATGGAACAGCCCAACACCTGACTCGCCCATTTGTGCCTCTACAACAGGAAGTGATGAGCTACAGTCTGTATTAAGTTCCAGCACTCAGCCAGGCTGACAAATGACATGGGGTCCAAGCCTGAGGAGAACCACTTTATCGAAACATTTGAGAAACCACATCTTAATCTACTCTGAGTAAGTGGGCACAAAATCATTCAAATAAGAGTATGTCCAAAGTAGGACGTACACAGATACTGCGGAAATCATTTGGTCAAAGGCACTTTAAGTCACAGAGAAGAGTCCCAAGATCACTGAGCTGCCGGCTGCTCTGAGATGAACTTGGCATCTCCACTCTCATCAAGATCTGGACTCTTCTATCCTGTGCTCCATCAGCCATATCCAAGACTTTCCTTCTCAGATTTAACCCATGGTCGTAACTGGCAGGACCAAACAAAGCATGGGGCCAAAGAAGAGACCAACAGAATCCCACAACATCAAATTCACTCTCCAACCTCCTCATCCTAATGCACATGTGACAGGAAACAGTCAACCAGGTACTGAGCTTCTCAGCCTGGAAGGTGAGTCAGGCTCCCCACCCCTCCCCTTCTGTCCCTCCCTTCTTGTGCCCTTTCCTCATGTTCCAGGCTGTGTTCACCTGTGTGACGTCAAAGGCTGACCCTTACATAGGCCTTGAACACAGGCCCTTGACCACACACATAAGGTTGATTACCTTTCTCCTCAGATTCCAGAATTTCCTGCAAAACCAGGAATGAAGTGGACTGTTTGGGAGGCTCATTTAACTCCTGTTTCTCCTGGAGCATCTTGTAAACTTCAGATTCTTTGTCGATGACGAGGCCGCTGGGAGGCTGAGAATGCTCTAAGCTGTAAAGAATGTTTGGAAATTCATTAGGACATGTCAGAAGTTAGAAAATAATTCATTAGGTACCCTCTCCAAACAGAGACTCCTAAATCAAGTGACAGAAATCATCCCAATGAACAAATCCCTCTCTGAAAGCAGCCACAGACCTGCCAAGACTGGGAAGTATAGTAACAGTCAGAGCTGGCCGCTGCGTCCATGCAATAAGAGGTTATTTTCCCAAACTGTCTTAGTAATTCGATTACTTTTTGGTCTAACCCCATGAAACAGGAATGCTTTGCTTCTTTTCAAGTTACATAAACAACATTATGTCAAAAGAAAATTTAGAAGAGGGAAAATACAAACCACAATGTGACCACTAAAAAGTCAGCTGGGTCTCCTTGGTACTGGCCACATGCATTTTATCCACAGAGCAGAATCTCAGTGGTCTTTATAGTCCTGATTCTATCCGAGGCTCCATAAACTCCTCATAATTCTCACTGTTACCTACAACATGGAGGAAATAGTGCCTGTCTTGCCTAGCTCACAAGGTAATGGTTAAGGATGAAATAGGAAAGTGTTCTGGAAACTGATGTGCCATTCCAGTGTACAGGAAGGGGCAGAAGCTAATCTCTCCTCCCTCTCTCTCCTGGGCCACTTTCAGAACACTACTCATTCATACTGATACACTGCCCGGCACTTCCCTCCTACTCCATATTCTTACAAGAAAGGGCAGGGTTCCCAAGGAGTGGCACAGGCTTTGCAGCTACCAGGGAAGGTCAACTGTTAAATAGAAAGAGCCATCAGCTAGCCCTCTGCTGCTGTGTTTGGGGAGGGGAAACCAGCCATGGCTCCCTGTTCATACTGGGTTGATCTCTGCCTTTGTCTCGTTCCCTCTCATCCACCCAGCCCAGGATTGATGTTGTTAAGTGCTGCTGAGTTGAGTTGGTTCCAACTCATATCAACCCTGTATAGGGTTTCCGAGGAGACGCTGGTAAGTTTGAACTGCTGATCTTGTGGTTTAAACGGACCTTGTGGTCAAATGCTTATCACCAGGACTCCTACAGCCTGGGACTGAAGACCACCTTTAATCACAGGAACCTCTCCAGGGCAGGTGATGGGGCCATCTTGTGAAACTCCTTTTCACTAAGAGCGTGGTCTTCCTCTGGCCCACCTTTTCAGCCCTGTTCTTTGAATTAAATGCTTGACTCTTTTTTTGGGTCTTGTGTTCTGAACTTGTCCTATAATGAATGTATTACATTATTTTAAAGGAATCTTTTCTCTATTATACTTGTAACTATTTTAAAATCAAGATCAGAACCATGGAATGTTCTCAGGAAAACTCCTTCATCTTTTTTGGTGTATGTTATGTCTGGAAGTCACCAAGGGAATACTAAAAATGACAGAATCCAAACCACAAGATCATCATCTGCTCTCCCAACAAACAACTCTTTAAAGCAATTCCATGGTTAAAATAAAAATTAACTGCTTTTCTGAAATAACGATAATATCTTTCTACTAAATAACTATTTATAAAACATTTTCCATATTAATTCCTTTTTTTTGGAAGCATTAATATATTTGTTGTTGTTGTTAAGTGCCCTTGAGTCCTTTCTGACTCAGAGTGACCCTGTATGGGGTTTCTGAGGCTGTAAATCTTTGCGGGAGTGGAAAGCCTCATCTTTCTCCCACTGAGTGGATGGTGGGCTCGAACTGATGCCCTTTGGTTTGCAAGTCTACTGCTAATCCTACAGAGTCATCACGCTCCCAGCATTAATATGCTATTTTTGTTAAGTGCTGTTGAGTTGGTTCCAACTCATAGGGACCCTGTGTAGGGTTTCCGAGAAGTGGCCCTTGGGTTTGAACTGCCGACCTTGCAGTTCAAGGCGACCTTGTGGTTCAAACAGAGCTGCGGTCCAGTGCTAATCCTATAATGCCACACCAGCATTAATATACATACTCGTACTTAATTCAAAATAGTATCCTAAGTCCCCATACCTAAATCTAAGATATAAAAGAAAAAAAAATTCTTGTTTTTATATACAGTAACAGCAGTGAATGAAAGAAAGAAAGAATCCTACAGTGACATGAGTTCAGAAAATAGAATAAACATGACTGAGTCACCAGGAGAAAATGGTTGGAACATGGAACACTGAAAGCAAACACAATCTTCTGAACAAACAAAAGACAAGAGTTTAATCAACTTCAACTCCTTTATATTCCACTCGGGATCCTGGTGTGGCACTGTGAGGTAATGCACTGAACCACAAGGTCAGCAGTTCAAAGTCACCAGCTGCTCCTCAGAAACCCTACACAGGGTCACCCTGAGTCGGAAACGACTCCACAGCACTTAACAACAACATAACACTCTGTGGGTAGTAACCCAACCTAATGGTACACCAGCTACCTAAATATTTAATATTATTAGTCTCCCACTATTTTAGGCCCCAACCTCAAAGGTCAGACTATGAAATCAGGACCTAACTCCTCACGGATGTCACAGCCAGGTGGCGTCCATCCTGACCTGGTGGCTGCCAGAGTGAAGCAGTCAAGAATCCTAGCGGCCTATGTTGTTGTCGTTGTTAAGTGCTGTCAAGCAAGTTCTGATTCATCACAACCCTGTATAGGGTTACCGAGGAACAGCTGGTAAGCTTGAACTACCAACCTTATGGTTTGAACCAACCTTAAGGTAGAGAGCTTATCTTACAGCACCACTCCCATAGAACATAAGAAACTCCCCTAGAGTTCTTCTCACAGAGGTAATATCAGAGACTGAGAACAGCCCATTCCATGGCTCTGGGACCTGGACAGCATAGTAACACTGATATAAAAGTCTGTTCTATGAGAATAATGAAGTGACCAGAGTGGGATAGAAAGGTCACTTTTTTTTTTTTTTTCATTTGTGCCTTGACTTGTGATTGCAACTTAATAATATGTGTATAAATCCCAACTAAAGCAAGAAACCCTAAGATAAAATTGCCACTGCTGATACAAATTCTTCACCAAAAGACATGTTGGGGACCAGACGGGGAATTATCTGAATGATTGGAAGTCTGGGACAGAAGCAGATGTTCTCTTGATAAAATTTTCCCCTCCCTTCCATTACGTACAACTGAAAATCCTGGGCATTGTAAAACAAACATGCGAAGACTGTGAAAGATAAGACAAGGCAAACAAAGCAGAGAGCTCAGACCTGAGGAATAACATGGTACTGAGTTTCCCGTGTTGTCTTTTTGCCTCATTTACCCCAGATATGGAGCTAAAAAAGGTACTAATCCAGAAAGGGCTAGGACAGATACCTGAATACCAATGTCAATAGTAGCATTATTATTATTAATAAAAGGGGGAAACAACCCAAGTGTCCATCAATACATGAATAGATAAACAAAATGTGGCCTCCTTAGTCATGACTCAACAAAGAGAAATGAAGTCTGATAGAAGCTATGACATGGATGATTGAAAACATTTGCTTAGTAGAGATGTCAGATATAAAAAAGAGCAAATATTATACAATTGCACTAACAGGAAATATTTAGAGCAAGTACAGGCACAGACGCCAAAGTTTATTAGTGGCTATCAGGAGGAACTGCCTCAAGTTGGCGGGCAGGGGGCAGCGGGGAGGTGGAGAGCTTGGGGCACATGCTGCTGTTAATTTTCATTTTAAACACTGAATGGTTTACAACTAAGAAAGATGTGTGACAAGGTTGTATTCTTGCACCATACTTATTCAACCTGTATGCAGAGCAAATAATCTGAGAAGCTGGGTTCTGTGAAGAAAAACGTGGCATCAGGATTGGAGGAAGACTCATTAACAACCTGAGATATGCAGATGATACAACCTTGCTTGCTGAAACTAAAGAGGGCTTAAAACATTTACGATGAAGATCAAAAAGCACAGCCTCTGGTTGGATTGCATCTCAATGTAAAGAAAACAAAAATCTTCACCACTGGACCAATAAACAACATTCTTACCAATGGAGAAAAGACTGAAGTCATCAAGGACTTCATTCTTCTTGAATCAACTATCAACACTCATGGAAGCAGCAGTCAAGAAATAAAAAATGCAAATCAAATTTGCATTAGACAAATCTGCTGCACAAGACATTTTTAAAGTGTTGAAAAGTAAAGATGTCAGCTTGAGGATTAAGGTGTGTGCCTGACCCCAAACCTTGGTATTTTCAATAACCTCATATGCATGTGAAAGCTGGACAGTGAACAAGGAAGATCACAGAAGAATTGACGCCTTTGAGTTGTGGTGTTGGAGGAGAATACTGGAAGTGCCATGGGCTGCCAAAAGAACCAATAGATCTGTGTTGGAGAAGTGCAGCCAGAGTGCTCCTTAGAGGTCAGGATGGCCAAACTTCGTCTCTCAGACTTCGGACATATTGTCAGGAGGGACCAGTCATTGGAGAAGGATATCATGTTTAGTAAGGTGGAGGGTCAGAGAAAAAGAGGAAGACCCCCAGCAAGATGGATTGGCAAAGTGGCAACATCAATGGGCTCAAATGTGGCAACAATGGTGAGGTTGGCCCAGGATCGGGCAGTGTTTTGTTCTGTTGTGCATAAGGTCACTATGAGTCGGTACCGACTGTATGGCACCTAACAACAACAACCTGGAAGGTGGGGAGAGTGGGAAGTTATTGCTGAAGGTGTACTGAGTTTCTTCTGTATAGAATGATGAACAATTTTTGGAAATACAGTGTTGATGTTTGCATAGCATAGGGAACACCATTAATGTCACTACATTTTATATCTGAAGATGGTTAAACTGGCAAAAATATTGCTAGATGCATTTTACCACTATAAAAATTTTTGAAGTAAAAAGGTGGGAAAAGGTATACCAAGAAAATATTTTCACACTACAAGAAACATTCTTTGTTGGTTACCAGAGGTGGGAGGGGAAGAAAGTGTACATTGCTTGTGTTCACTTGGGTAAACTGGGTAAAGATGACATGGATTCTCTCTGTATTCTTTCCCACCCTGCATGTGAATATATGTGTGTCACAAGGCAAAGAGGCTAATTAAT